GGGGCCTGTGTCACTCAGGACAGGATGGACATGGGGTGGTCATCGTGGCCTTCACTGGCACTTGCATCACCCAGGACAGTATGGACATGGGGGTGGTCATTGTGGCCTTCACCAGGGGGGAAATTACCTAGGTGAGCTCATCTGGACAGAGTGGACATGGGGGTGGTCATCGTGGCCTTCATGGGGGCCTGCATCACCCAGGACAGTATGGACACAGGGAGTGTGGTCATTGTGGTCTTCACTGGGGGGAAATCATTCAGTTGAGCTCACCTGGACAGTATGGACATGGGGACACAGGGATGGTCATCGTGGCCTTGACCAGGTCTGCATCCCCCAGGTGAGCTCACCTGGACAGTGTGGACACAGGGGGACATGGGGATGGTCATTGTGGCCTTCAGAGGGGCCTGCGTCACTCAGGACAGGATGGACACGGGGTGGTCATCATGGCCTTCACTGAGGGGGAAATTACCCATGTGACCTCACCTGGACAGTGTGGACATGGGGACACAGGGGTGGTCATTGTGGCTTTCAGAGAGGCCTGCGTCACACCGGTGACCCCACCTGGACAGTGTGGACACAGGGAGACACACAGGGGTGGTCATCGTGGCCTTCACCGGGGCGTGCATCACCCAGGTGAGCTCACCTGGACAGAGTGGACATAGGGGTGGTCATCGTGGGGGAAATGACCCAGGTGAGCTCACCTGGACAGTATGAACATGGGGATATGGGGATGGCCATTGTGGCCTTCACTGGGGGGAAATCATCCAGGTGAGCTCACCTGGACAGAGTGGACACAGGGGGACATGGGGATGGTCATCGTGGCCTTCACCGGGGCCTGCGTCACCCAGGACAGTACGGACAGGGGTGTGGTCATCGTGGCCTTCACTGAGGGGGAAAATCACCCAGGTGACCTCACCTGGACAGTGTGGACATGGGGACACAGGGATGGTCATCATGGCCTTGACCAGGTCTGCATCACCCAGGTGAGCTCACCTGGACAGAGTGGACACAGGGGGACATGGGGATGGTCATTGTGGCCTTCACCAGGGCGTGCATCACCCAGGACAGTATGGACACAGGGGGTGTGGTCATCATGGCTTTCACCGGGTGGAAAATCACCCAGGTGACCTCACCTGGACAGTGTGGACAGGGGATGGTCATCGTGGCCTTCACGGGTGCCTGTGTCACCCAGGACAATATGGACAGGGGGGACATCGGAGTGGTCATTGTGGCCTTCACTGGGGGGAAAATCACTCAGGTGAGCTCACCTGGACAAAGGGGGACATGGGGATGGTCATCGTGGCCTTCACGGGTGCCTGTGTCATCCAGGACAATATGGACAGGGGGGACATCGGAGTGGTCATCGTGGCCTTCACTGGGGGGAAAATCACTCAGGTGAGCTCACCTGGACAAAGGGGGACATGGGGACACAGGGATGGTCATCGTGGCCTTCAGAGGGGCCTGCGTCACACAGGTGACTTCACCTGGACAGTGTGGACACAGGGGGACATAGGGGTGGTCATCATGGCCTTCACCGGGGTGTGCATCACCCAGGTGAGCTCACCTGGACAGAGTGGACAAAGGGAGACATGGGGATGGTCATCGTGGCCTTCACCCGGGCGTGCGTCACCCAGGACACAGGGGGTGTGGTCATCATGGCCTTCACCGGGTGGAAAATCACCCAGGTGAGCTCACCTGGACAGTGTGGACACAGGGAGACACAGGGGTGGTCATTGTGGCCTTCAGAGGGGCCTGTATCACTGAGGACAGGATGGACAGGGGTGTGGTCATTGTGGTCTTCGTCGGGGCCTGCATCACCCAGGTGAGCTCACCTGGACAGTGTGGACATGGGGACACAGGGATGGTCATCATGGCCTTGACCAGGTCTGCATCACCCAGGTGAGCTCAGCTGGACACAGTGGACACAGGGGGACATGGGGATGGTCATTGTGGCCTTCACTGGGGGGGAAAATCACCCAGGTGAGCTCACCTGGACAGTGTGGACATGGGGACACAGGGACACAGGGGTGTGGTCATCATGGCCTTCACGGGCACCTGCATCACCCAGGTGAGCTCACCTGGACAGAGTAGACACAGGGGGACATGGGGACACACAGGGGTGTGGTCATCGTGGCCTTCACCGGTGCATGCATCACCCAGGACAGTATGGACACAGGGGGTGTGGTCATCGTGTCCTTCACCGAGTGGAAAATGGACAGTATGAACATGGGGATATGGGGATGGTCGTTGTGACCTTCACTGGGGGGAAATCATCCAGGTGAGCTCACCTGGACAGAGTGGACAAAGGGGGACATGGGGATGGTCATCATGGCCTTCACTGGGGCGTGCATCACCCAGGACAGTATGGACACAGGGGATGTGGTCATTGTGGCCTTCACTGGGGGGGAAAATCACCCAGGTGACCTCACCTGGACAGTGTGGACATGGGGACACAGGGATGGTCATCATGGCCTCGACCAGGTCTGCATCACCCAGGTGAGCTCACCTGGACAGAGTGGACACAGGGGGACATGGGGACACACAGGGGTGTGGTCATCGTGGCCTTCACAGGCGCCTGGGTCATCCAGATACAGAGCAGAAGAAATCAATCTGTTGGATTTTGGGGGTTTTCAGTGTTTCTCAGTGGAGCAAAAGAATAAATCTTCAGATTCAACAGGTGTTCAGTGGGTTCTTCACTGGAGCAGGAGAATGAATTTCTTGGATTTGACAG